GCTTAGGCTCTATTAAAAACACACAGTCATGAATTCTCTATTTAACATGCCTCAATATAGGAATTTAGTCAAAAGTAAATATTTTCCACCTTTGCAGTGGTTCTGCCATTTCCAAATTCTTCCTCGTAAGTGCTCTCAATTTTGTTGTGTTGCTGTTTTTAGAAAAAATTATCACCACAGCCCTGTTTAAATTTAGGTAATGGCTCCCTAAAGCCCCCATGTTAACGTCTGAATTTCTGACATGATGCCTCCAATTTCACTCCAAATTCTTTTCTTTTTTTTTTGAGACGGAGTCTCGCTCTGTCACCCAGGCTAGAGTGCAGTGGCGCGATCTCGGCTTACTGCAAACTCCGCCTCCCGGGTTCACGCCATTCTCCTGCCTCAGCCTCCCAAATAGCTGGACTACAGGCACCCACCAAGCCCAGCTAATTTCTTTTTGTATTTTTAGTAGAGATGGGGTTTCACCGTGTTAGCCAGGATGGTCTCGATCTCCTGACCTCGTGATCCGCCCATCTCGGCCTCCCAAAGTGCTGGGATTACAGGCTTGAGCCACCGCGCCCGGCCCAAATTCTTATCTCACTAATATTTGTCATACCTTCTATGTTCCTTCCAAATCCTCTTTATCTCCCAAAACTCAGTTCCTCCTCTGCCTTTGCATGTGGTCTATATGGAATGCCCAACTTTTTTTTGGATAGTGATAGGCCTTGCTCTACTGGCCAGGCTGGAGTGCAGTGGTGTGATCATAACTCACTGTAACCTCAAACTCCTGGCAAGCGATCCTCCTGCCTTGGCCTCCCAAAGTGCTCAGATTACAGATGTGAGACACTGCGCCCAGCCCACCTCTTTCCCACGGAATGCATCCTCCTTGTTCCTCAAGGTCAGTAAATATGCTTCCTCCTCTCTAGTCTTTTCTGGTTTTCTCCAGAAGCCAGGATCAGGAGTCACTATACCTCCTCTGTTTTCCCCAAGCATCTTATTAATAGATCTTTCATAGAATTCATTGCACTGTATGATATGCATTCGATTATATTGTATTATAGTGTTATATTACTGCATCTTTCTCTCCACATTGTAAATTTCTTAAGGATAATTTCCTTTATTCATTTTATGCCTAACATTATATTTCTTGTCATGTAATAAGCAATAAAATTTTGGTGACTTGAATGATGTGAGAAAACAAGAAGAAAAAACAGACTTGAGGAATACACAGGTGTATGCCTTATTTTTCATTCTGCATAACTTCTGCCTGTATTTTATTGATAACCTAGGCCTTGAATATGTCTCATATTTCGGAGTAGGGTGTAGCAAATTAATCATCGAATTGCTTGTTTATACCATTCAATTTGATCATCACAATTTAGGTCTCTAGCAAGAAGAAAAAGAAGACTTTCACATAGGTGACAAATAGGATACAAATAGGATTTGTTAATAATAGGAATCTGTTAAAAACAAGATAATTTTTATTGTTTTGTGATAATAACAAAGTAAAAGAAATTGTGTTCCTAGGGTTTACTTACAAATTAAACACACTATTACCACTTTATTTTCCAATTTCATCTCTTTAAGAAAAAAAATGTATTACTTTAAAATGATCTATAAGTACAATTTTATATGGAAAGGGCAATAACTACTTTCAATGCAAATAGAAGTTTATCATTGCAAGGGCAGCTGTAAAAAAGACTTTTAATTCACAACAGGGTGTGTGACATAGGCCTGTAATACGGGGCCAATGTCTCTAAGAAGTTGAAAATACAGTATTACAAAATCAGAAAACAAGCAACAAAACAAAAGTGTCTGTCTTCTTTTCTTTGTCCAACATGTTTGGGTATTAGTATTGAAGGAGCTCTATAACAAGTGCAAATGATGTGTGAAATGAATCAGCTCTGCCCAGCATATACACAGAGACTATAAAGCTACTTATGTAAATATAGCTCTGCAGTGTTAATTGCTGCAGGACTTAGACAGGTATGGCAGAAAGATGGCCTGATTTAGATGACCTAGACACTGATGTCACACTAAACTCTTGGAATGGGGGTAGGGTTGAATTTTATGAAGATGTGACACCCCACCACACACACACACAATTATTGTATTTCCTTCTTCCTGCCTGTGTTATGGCCTGCTAATGATATACTTTACTTGAATGAACTCATGTGCTCCAAATTTCCTATGGGATAGGGATTGATAATATTCACCATTTTAAGGAAATTACGGCTTGAAAAAACTAAATAATGTGGCAAGAAAGCTAGTAAGTTGCAAAGTCAGGAATGGTCCCAGGATTCTGTCTCTGGAGACTGTCCCTTCCACCCCATCACACATGGCCGCTGATCATCGAGACAGGTTTCCATGATGCACAGGATGGTGGGTGCAGTGGGGAGACAAGACATGTTTACTACACTCACATCTGTCATTTACCAGCAAATCAACCATGGAAAGCACCAGGGTTCTTAAATAAATGACCCCTGCTGGGACTCACCTTAGATAGCGGATATGTTCGAAGCAGCCTTGGCTCACACCCAGGCTTGGGGCCCCTGTGGAGACTGCGCATCTGCTCATTTGATGTAGCAGAGCCTCCCAGCATATGCAGTGGGCATGGCCTGCAGAGCGCATTTTTCTCATTCCACAGAGCGTCGATTTTAAGACAGATCACCCTGAATTGCCCTTAAAGCTGAGGACAATCTGTCCATCCACTCACACATCACATAAGAGACAGAAACTTCATTCTCTCTCACTCTCTATGGGTGTGTGAAGACATTTCCGTTCCCTCTCTCCCCCGCCAAGGGACCTGCTCAGCACTTTCCTGTTTGCTTTTTCCTCCTGGGCGGGCCCTTCCTCCCTGCCTGATTCAGATTCTTCCCTGGAGCTGTTGTCCAATATTTATTGTCCAGCTAAGTATCACAAAAGAGGAAATACAAAAATACTGAAGGCTACTACGTGCTAGGTAATTTCACATTCTTTATTGGAGAAAACCAAATTTTTCAGAGCTTGTTTCTTGACGGTGTCACGCCGTGAACTAACGGCAAATCCAAACCGGACTTTGGGCCAAGATAACCCCAAACCCACTCATTTTCCTCAATCCCATCAGAGATCACCCTAAAGAAGGCGATTTATTTTTAAACAACTGAAACATCTATAGGTCACATTGATTATTTCCCATTAAAAATGAAAAGGATTCTATTAAATCCAATAAGGGAGAAATGAATATTTCTTCAATTTAGGTTTTTTCCTTTTATGGAATAAAATAATACGCGTTAGGTGTCACTGCTTTTTAGCCACTCATACATTACCATTTGGAATTATTTAGTATTTACAACCCAAAGCTGGTTCTCAAATCTTCTGTTTCTCATCTTTGTGTAGTAATTTTACAAAATGTCCTCTTCATTTTTGAAGACAAAGAAACGTGAAACGTTCACGATCAAATGACTCCCCGTGTTGTATTAGATGAACCCGAAGCAAAGCCTCCGGAGCGCGCTGGAGAAGCCGCAATTCCGGACACCGCTGCAGTCTCGAGACACCACTGAGCGACTGTCCGCTAAGCTGGAAGCGGATGTGGCATTTCGAAGTAGCACGAAATGCAACCGGCTAGGAAGGAGGGCTTTCCGTCGCACGGCGGCTGCGTCGCCTGGACAGAGACGCCGAACCGGAAGAGCTAGCAGGAACACCGCCCGCCGCTGGGAGGTATCCGGAAGCGCGGCAGAGCGGGGGACTACATTTCCCATAAGGCCGCGGGGCAGGGCGAGGGGCGGGCGTCGGGGACGTTACCGGACAGGCCTTGCCCGGCAATACCAAGGTAAATGCCGGCGCCGCGGCTCCGAGGGAAGAGTAACTTACGATCTGCGCCTAGATTTTTACTAGTAACCCTCCTAACCCATCCCCGAACTGACAAAAACGACTCTTCCATCTGGGAGACTTTGAGATTTCCGGGCCCCAGGACTCCACCCCTCACAACCTAGTCAGGCCCCCCACCAACAATGGGCCTGGGGCACTTCCCAAATGCCTAAGGACGCTGGGGGTTGCGCTAGTAAGTTGAAGGCCCAGAGTACCCCCTATCTAGGATTGACGACCCATACTGTTATTGGCCTCTCCCTCCACGCCCAGTATCCTATTTTTAATTTTTTTTTTTTTTAATTATTGGTTTCTTAAATAGAGCCAGGGTCTCGCCATATTGCCCAGGCTCGTCTTGAACTCCTGGCCTCAAGCGATCCTCCCCACTCGGCCTCTCAAAGTGTCGAGATTACAGGCGTGAGCCACTGTGCCCGGCGGTCCCCAAGCCCAGTTTCCTATTAAATCCGGCGGGAGGTGCCTGGCTCCCTGGGGCTGGGTGGAAAGGGTAGTAGAGGTAGTAGAGGGGAAGTTGCCCTCCGTCCCAGCCCAGTTTAGGAGCCGACGACCTCCCCTCTCCTTAGGCTGCTCCTCGGACGTTCTTGGCTCAGGGCGGCGAAAACTGTCGAAGACCTGCGGGCCAAGGACTGCTGAGCACCTCCATCCAAGGTCCCCAATGCTTTTCTCCATCTACCCTTTAGAGTGGTGTCACGATTGCCACTGGAGAGGCGAAGTGACTTGCCCTAGGTCACATAATTTAAATGGCAGTACTGGAGTTTCGCACAGAACCTGCCCCGACTTAAAGCCCTTTGCTTAGGCCCCATTACCTTCCTCAAACCTTAACTTAGGAGAGTGCAGGCGCTGGGGACCGCAGAGTCATTTTTGTTGCCCAGCGGTGCCGTCGAGTGCAGCTTTGGGCCCAGGCGCAGAACCCAACCGCGCATCCCCAGCGCGCACTTAGTCCACCCGGCTGCCAGAGCGGACACATAGGTCCGGCCTCGGTTTCCCCCTTCTGAACAAAAGCGCGCACAGGGTGCTCCCCGCACCGAGCCGGGACTGTGGCCCCCTGGAAGGTTCTCTCTCCTCCTTTCCTCGCTTCCCGGACCCTCCTCTGGGGACAGACGGACCGCGCGCGTCCTCGCCGCGGCGGCGGGTCGAGTGGGTGGGGTTTGCTGCACTGCCGCTGCGGCGGCGGCGACGCCAGTGGATCCTCCGGTGACTCTGGGGCGGGGCTGTGGGGAGGGCACAGACTGACAGACGGACTCCGGCGGAATGGGGGGTGTGGCTGTTCCGCCAGGGTCCCCAGGGTGGGAGAGCGGCTCCGCGGCTACCGGTGCCCGGACCCCCTCTGTCTGCTAGACATGCTCTTCCTCTCGGTGAGTTGTTTTGCTGTCGTCGCGGGCCGGATTCGTGGCCTTAGTCACGCCCCGGGGGAGGAGGAAGGAGCCTGGCCGCTTCGATCCGTGTGGCCTGGATAGGGCAGGGCAAAGGGGAACAAACTGACCCGCTACGCTCCCCGGCCTCCTCCCTTTGGGGCATGTTGATCCGCGGCTGCGCTCCATGTTCCAGTTTCATGCAGGCTCTTGGGAAAGCTGGTGCTGCTGCTGCCTGATTCCCGCCGACAGACCTTGGGACCGGGGCCGACTCTGGCAGCTGGAGATGGCGGACACGAGATCCGTGCACGAGACCAGGTTTGAGGCGGCAGTGAAGGTGATTCAGAGTTTGCCGAAGAATGGTACGTGCGCTGGGCCCCGGCTGGAGACGCCTCCTGCAGAGAGTCCCGAAGCCCCGGCTTACCTCTTTTCACTTTTTGGTTCTAGTGTTGTTTATTTAGCCTACTTTTTTTTTCCGTGTAGGAGCCATGTAGTGGAAGGGGAGCTATTGAATATGAATTAATTAACTTTTGATCTTCCAAACCGGAGAAAAATATAATATCCAGATTTTAAGTAGTTCATATTGTTGAAAACAAGTCTTGTCACTTAATGACTGCGGATTTGGATATACTAAAAAAAAAAAAAAAAAAGCCAGGCGGGGTGGCTCACGCCTGTAATTCCAGCACTTTGGGAGGCCGAGGTGGGTGGATCACCTGAGGTCAGGAGTTCAGGACCAGCCTGACCAATATGGTGAAACCCCGTTTCTACTAAAAAATACGAAAATTAGTCGGGCGTGGTGGTGTGCGCCTGTAGTCCCAGCTACTCGGGAGGCTGAGACAGGAGAATTGCTTGAACCCAGGAGGCAGAGGCTGCAGTGACCCGATATCGTGCCACTGCACTCCAGCCTGGGCGAGAGAGCAGACTCCGTATCAAAAAAAAAAAAAAAAAAAAAAAAGCCAAAAAAACAAAAACAAAATTCTAGGCTGGGGTGCCTAATGCCACACACTCATAGGGTCTACCAGCTGAAGCCTTTTGAAAACTTTGGATATGAAGGGACAGAAAAGAAAGAATATAGTCAGTTGTGAAATACTTACTCTTTATTTTAATAAATATATATTTTCTACCTTTTTATTTGCTATTCCATTCTATAAGGTTCTCTTTTTTATATTCATATTGGACCTTCTTTCCAGGTTGTGAGAAAAAAGTCATTCCAGTTGCTGAACTCTTTCTTGTATTTAATGTGTTATTTCTCTGGCTGCTTTTTAGATTTCTTTTCTATCTTCGGTTTTCAGCAATTTGACTAGTAGGTGTGGTTTTTCTTCATATTAACCCTGTTAACGATTTGCAGAGCTTTTTGAATTTGTAATTTTATGTCATAGACCAATGTGAAGTTTTTGGCTACTAGTTAAATATTTTTCTCTGTTCTAAATGCAGTCTTAGAGAGGAAGGCGTACTTTTCAATTCGTATCTTTCTACATTATATGAATTATGTTTCACAATAAACATATTTATTTATTTAGAGATGGAGTTTCGCTCTTGTTGCCCAGGCTGGAGTGCAATGGTGCAATCTCAGCTCACCGCAACCCCCACCTCCCGGGTTCAAACGATTCTTCTACCTCAGCCTCCCGAGTAGCTGGGATTACACGCATGCGTCACCATGCCCGGCTAATTTTGTATTTTTAGTAGAGACGGGGTTTCTCCATGTTGGTCAGGCTGGTCTCGAACTCTCAAGCTCAGGTGATCCGCCTGCCTAGGCCTCCCAAAGTGCTGGGATTACAGGTGTGAGCCACCGCGCCTGGCCCAATAAACATATTTAGAAAGTAATGTTAGGTACTACTACTGTGCCACAATTGTAAAGCTAGCTGAATACAACAATAATACTATAGTATTTAATATCATGGTTTCTGTTTTCATTAATTATCATCTGGCTAGGTAACGAATATTCAACACAAATCATTCAATAAAAATTAATTAAATGCAGATTCAGGAAGTTTTTAAAACAAATACACATAAAATAGTGTTCCATTTGTAATTTCTTCCCTTCTACGGTGTTGTCTGAACCTTTTGTAATTTCAGACATTCTATTGGAGGAGGACATACGGGGAACTGAAAGATAAGAAAGAATAAACAAAATATAAAGAAATAACATATAAATGTATTTAGGTATTGATTTTTTAAGTCCCTGTATTAGAGTTTATAGAAAGGTATGATTCTAAGAGCTTTATGTAAGTAGTATGAGTATGTTTACACTTTCTCCTAAAGCACACGTTTTTATAGTTTTTTGAAAACTGGTAAAGCTAGACTGATGTCTCTAGGCCACTATCCCTGTTGACATTCCTTATTAGGAAACCGGTATAAAGTACACTTTGTATTTACATAACATTTAAGAAGGTATTGCAAAGTTTTTTTTTTTTTTTTTTTTTGGACGATGAAGTCTCGCTCGCTGTCACCCAGGCTTGAGCTGGCAGTGGCCCGATCGTCACGACTCACTTGCAGCTCCGCTCCCCGGTGTTTATGCTCATTCCTCCTGCCTCAGCCTCGCCGAGTAGTGTGGGACTACAGGCGTCCGGCCACCATTCGCCCGGCTAGTTTTTTGTATTTTTTTAGTAGAGACGGGGTTTCACCCTGTGTAGCCAGGATGTTCTCGATCCCTGGACCTCGGGAATCGGCCCGTCGCCGGTCCCAAGTGCTGGGCATTACAGGCTTTGACCACCGCGCCGACCAAATTTTAGTATTTTTTTTTTTTTTGAGACGGAGTCTCGCTTGTCACCCAGGCCTGGAGTGCAGTGGCCCGTGATCCCCCCCAGCTCTCACTGCAACTACCGTCCTCACCGGGTTTACGCCATCCGTCCTGGCCTCAAGCCCTCCCGAGGTAGCATGGGACCTACAGGTGCTGCCACCCCTTCACCCGGCTAGTTTTTTTTTTTTTTTTTGTATTTTTTTAGTACAGAGACGGGGTTTCTCACTGTATTACGCCAGGATGTCTTGGATCTCCTGACCTTGTGATCCGCCCGTCTCGGCCTCCCAAAGTGCTGGGATTACAGGCTTGAGCCACCGTGCCCGGCCTGCAAAGTTTTAAGATACCCTATCCGCCGGCGCGGTGGCTCACGCCTGTAATCCCAACACTTTGGGAGGCCGAGGCGGGCTGATCACGAGGCGGGCTGATCACGAGGCGGGCGGATCACAGGGTCAGGAGATCAAGACTATCCTGGCTAATACGGTGAAACCTCGTCTCTACTAAAAATACAAAAAATTCGCTGGGCGTGGTGGCGGGCACCTGTAGTCCCAGCTACTGGGGAGGCTGAGGCAGGAGAATGGCATGAACCGGGGCGGCGGAGCTTGCAGTGAGCCGAGATCCCACCATTGCACTCCAGCCTGGGTGACAAGAGCCAGACTCCAACTCAAAAAAAAAAAAAAAAAAGATACCCTATCAAGTGGTAACTGTGTTGGACAACATCCAGTATACTGTTATCCCTTGAAACTAAGTTGATATTAATTGAAGCAGAAGTTTGTTGTAATGAATTATAAATATTTTTGTAATACTACTTTTAAACCATTTGATTTGCTTTGAATCATTATGCAAAGAGCAAGATCTTGGAGTTTTTTGTTCCTTGTTGCTCAATCCTTATTTAAGGCCTGAAATAGTAATGAATCCTATGGCATCTATGTTTGGTATGACCTTAACCTTTTAAAATTTAAATTCTTAGCTAATATTTCAAATACATATTAAATACATCATGTATGAGCACCTTGAGAACAGAAATCTTACTTGTCTTACACACAGACTACACTCAATAAATGATCTCGTTTTTTGTTTTTTTAATATCATTCACCTAAGCCAATAAACTTATTTGGTTGACTTACTGAAGATATTTTGAGATTAAACTTTTGATCTTTTAAATTTAGATTTGTGTTATTTAAATAAGTGACCGTTTTAAACTGTGGTTTCTCCATTTTTTTTCCCTCTGCTTTATAAAGGTTTATGTTATTAAAACACTGTATCTATTAGGTACTCCTAAATGTGCATATATTATACAGATAATTATTATAGTGATTTGAGAATTAATTATGCACTCTCGGCCAAACCTGAAACAACAGCTCTCAGTTTAGTTATCTGTGTGGTAATTTCCACAGGTTTTTTTTTTTGAGACCAAGTCTTGCTCAGCTGCCCAGGCTGTAGTGCAGTGGTGTGATCTTGGCTCACTGCAAACACCGTCTTTTGAGTTCAAGCAATTCTCCTGTCTCAGCCTCCTGAGTAGCTGGGATTACATGCACCTGCCATCATGTCCAGCTAATTTTTGTGTTTTAGTAGAGACGGGGTTTCACCATGTTGGCCAGGCTGGTCTTAAACTCCTGACCTCAGGTGATACGCCCGCCTCAGCTTCCCAAAGTGCTAGGATTACAAGGGTGAGCCACTGTGCCCAGCCCACACAGCTCTTATAAACTGCTAGCTTATGCAATTTACAAACTTTAAAAAAATCTTGTTACAATTTTTATTTTTATTTTTATAATTTTGTTATAAAGGTAATATACACTGATGTTTAAAACTTTTTTAAAAACAGATAAGTGAAAAGGAAAAGAATCTGTATACTTACTATTCAGAGATAGTCTTTAAATATTTTATGTTTATCTTTCTACTGTACTTTTTATATATATAAATATTTGCCAAAATGTATCATATTATATATGTTGTTTTTAAACTTGTTTTTCTAAATTTATAGTAGATCGTGGAACTTATACCATTATTTATATTTTTCTACAATATAACTTTTTAGGGCTATAGTTATATATTGTCCTGTTACATTTATATATCTTATTTAAACATTTATTAGAAAACATTAACATTCCAATTTTTCAGTTATTGAGAATACTACAACTTATAGCACTTGCTTATACAATTTGAATTTTTTTTTTTTTTGGAGACAGGGTCTTTCTCTGTCGCTTAGGCTGTAGTGCAGTGGTATGATCACAGCTCACTGCATCCTTGACCTCCCTAGGCTCAGGAGATCCTCTCTGCTTAGCCTCCTGAGTAGCTGGGACTACAGGGTGTGCCATCACACCCAGCTAATTTTTGTGTTTATTTCTAGAGACAGGGTTTTGCTATGTTGCTCAGGCTGGCCTTGAACTCCTGAGGGTCAGGCGATCTGCCTACCTCAGCTTCACAAAGTGCTGGGATTACAGGCATGAGCCACCACAACTGGCCAATTTAAAAGTTTTAAACATGAGAAAAATTATGGATATGCTAGAAACATATATGAAGAATTATCATCAAATTGATGTCTCCAAAATTACAGAGATAGGAAGTGAGAAATCTGTTTTGTCTTAGATTAATTCTTTTTCTACCATAGTGTATACTCTTTGGCTTTAGCCCCAAATTCCTTATCTACTGAGAATTTGAAATTTGGCAGAGTGTACATGTAACTTTTTCACTTATGCTAGTCAGTTTTGATTTGTCATAAGCTTTGAATAAAAATACCTTATTATGATTGCTTAATAATAGTTATTCTATATTTTAGTATGTTTTTAAAGAGACATTTGCTGGTTATTTTGTTGTATCTACTGCATGTCTATTCATGTATTGTTTTATTCATTGAACCATCTTAGGCGTTGCTATTAAAGTTTAAAATCTCAGAGTGTTTTGAAATCAAAGAAGCAAACAACTGACAGAACCATAACTTTTGTTTCTATAAGATAGAAATAAATCATTATCTAAAGTATTAATGCAATATAAAATCACTATTAGTATAGCTAAGCTAATTATAACCTTAGATTATCTATCAGTTGTATTCCCCAGGTGATCTGTATTTAATGTGTGTTTCCAACAGGTTCATTCCAGCCAACAAATGAAATGATGCTTAAATTTTATAGCTTCTATAAGCAGGCAACTGAAGGACCCTGTAAACTTTCAAGGCCTGGATTTTGGGATCCTATTGGAAGATATAAATGGTAATTTTTTGTGTAGAGCTATGCAAGAATTTAAATTTTAATGACATAATTATCATATGGCTGTTACTTAAGTGGTTATACATTATTCTGTGCAGGAAGTATCCTAGGTATCTAGGTATTGGGTACAATGTTTATCCTCCAGGTTTTTTTTTTTTTTTTTTTTTTTGAGACAGAATCTCATTCTGTCGCCCAGGCTGGAGTGCAGTGGCAGGATCTCGGCTCACTGCAACCTCTGCCTCCTGAGTTCAAGTGATTCTCCTGCCTCAGCAACCTGAGTAGCTGGGATTACAGGCGTGTGCCACCACACCCAACTAATTTTTGTATTTTCAGTAGAAATGGGGTTTCACTATGTTGGCCAGGCTGGTCTCAAACTCCTGGCCTCAGGTGATCCACCCACTTTGGCCTCCCAAAGTGCTGGGATTACAGGCGTGAGCCACCATGCCCAGCCTTTCCAGGTGCTCTTAGTACAATTTTACACAAATAGGAAAATCTTGGGGAGGAGAGAAAAATAGTAAAACCAAAAGGGATAGGTACATCAAAGATAAAGAAGCATTTTCAGTTAATCTTTACTTTTATGGAGTTTTTCTCTTTTTTTTTTAAAGGCAAGAGCAACTCCCTACCTAAGTTAAAGAAACAAACTTTAACTGCCTCTTTTGCCTCCAAGAAAAATAATGGCTTTTCCTTGTTTGTGTTGAGCCTTGAAGATAATAAGTAACTAGGAATATGACTCAGGTACTGCCACGCTAACTTTTTCTCTAAGCCGTCACTTCTGACCTACTGTAATTGAATAGAAATTTGATTTTTTGTATACTTAAAAGAATTCTAAATTAAAAAGTATACTTAAAAGAATTATAAACTATAAATTAAAAGAATTATAGACACAGATACCTGTACCCATCTGTGCTGTTTTCCCAGTTGAGTAACAGTTGATATTCTTAATACAATTGAAACCTTCACAAATGTCTGAGAAAAGTCCATTTTAGACTGTACATTATGAACAGAATATGCTAATTGGTGAAACATGTTTTATTTATTTATTTATTTTTGAGATGGAGTTTCGCTCTTATTGCCCAGGCTGGAGTGCAATGGCGTGATCTCAACTCACCACAACCTCTGCCTCCCAGGTTCAAGCGATTCTCCTGCCTCAGCCTCCTGAGTAGCTGGGATTACAGGCATGTGCTTCTACGCCTGGCTAATTTTGTATTTTTAGTAGCGATGGGATTTCTCCATGTTGGTCAGGCTGGTCTTGAACTCCTGACCTCAGGTGATCCGCCTGCCTCGGCCTCCCAAAGTGCTGGGATTATAGGCATGAACCACTGCGCCCAGCGGTGAAGCATGTTTTAAAACCCACACTTTTTTTGGACACAGGGTCTCACTCCCATCACTCAGGCTGGAGTGCAGTGGCACGATCACGGCTCACTGCAACCTCTGCCTCCTGGGCTGAAACAATTCTCCCACCTCAGCCTCCCTAGTAGCCGGGACCACATGCTTGTGCCATCACACCCGGCTAATTTTTAAAATTTTTTCCTAGACGGGGTTTGCCTGTGTTGCCCAGGCTGGTCTCAAATTTCTGGTCTCAAGTGATCCACGTGCCTTGGCTGGGATTACAGGTGTGAACCACCATGCCACACCAGTTTTTTTTTTTTTTTTTTCTCTTGAGACGGAGTCTCGCTCTGTCGCCCAGGCTGGAGTGCAATGGCGTGATCTTGGCTCACTGCAATCTCTGCCTCCCGGGTTCAAGCAGTTCTCCTGCCTCAGCCTCACGAGTAGCTGGGATTCCAGGCACGTGCCACCACGCCTGGCTAATTTTTGTGTCTTTAGTAAAGACAGAGTTTTACCATGTTGTCCAGGCTGGTCTCAAACTCCTTACCTCAAGTAATCTGCCCACCTTGGCCTCTCAAAGTGCTGGGATTACAGGCGTGAGCCACTGCACCCAGCCCGTTTTTGTTTGTTTTTTGTCCACACATTGTGATGTTCAGTTTCTTCACCCTGAATTGGAAGTGCCTAAGCTTGTTTTAAGATTTCTTAGTATTCTACTTTCCTTTAAGATCTTTATGAATTGTCATAAAATAACAGGTTAAATGAAATAGTAATATGTTATTATTTAATATAACTTAATTTTAGTAGTATTAAATATTATTTAATATGATTTGATTTACCCATTTTAAGAAGATTTAATTATTTGCTTCATATTTCCCCCTAGAATTGACCTTTGGTGGAGTTAAACACCTTCGGGGAAAAACATATAAAAAGGAGGGTTTACACGTCGGGCAAAAATTTGAAAGAACTATTATTATTTAGGGGTTTAAAAATTTCCTGTCTCTTACATTTTCAGTATCCTAGAAGTGAGAAACCATTTCCTTTTTCAGTTCAAATGTACAAGTTAGGCTCTTATTTACATTAATAGAACCTTTTAACCAAAATGTCTATTCATTTAAAACATGGCTGGCTGGGCGCAGTGGCTCATCCTTCTAATCCCAGCACTTTGGGAGGTCAAGGCGGTGGATCACTTGAGGTTAGGAGTTCGAGACCAGCCTGGCCAACATGGTGAAACTCTATCTCTACTAAAATACAAAAATTATCTGGGTGTGGGGGCGCATGCCTGTAATCCCAGCTACTCAGGAGGCTGAGGCAGGAGAATCTCTTGAATCCAGGAAGTGGAGGTTGCAGTGAGCCAGGATCACACCACTGCACTCCAGCCTGGACAACACAGCGAGACTCCATCTCAAAAAAAAAAAAACAAAAAACCATGCCTGAGTGTTACAGCTCTTTTAGAATTTTTCTAGCAGGCTTTCTGGTCTTTACCGGAAAGCCTATTGAGAAATTTATATTAAAAAGAAAAAGAAAATATGCCTGCGACAATTAATGTAGTCTTGTACACTTGATCTTAGCGAAAGCCTGAGAAGCAATAATGTAGTTTTCTAAAATGTTTATTTCTGTTACTGTTCTTTGTAATAATATAAAAACTGAAGAGTTCTTATCAAATATTTATGAATAGTCTGTAGTCTCTGGTATATTACTACATAGATGGGTTATATACTTATTTGTTTTAAATACTATTTAATTTGCTAGTTCATTTGCTGTGATAATTTTCTTCATGGTGGCACGTTTAAGACAATCCTGTTATGGCTTTAAGTAGAGCCTGTTTTAATTAGTAACCTTATAGCATCAACTATAAATTGTATTCTGAGCAGTGAAAAATCAGATGTCTCTTTGTCATTATGTGGGTATTTTCATTTCTAGGGATGCTTGGAGTTCACTGGGTGATATGACCAAAGAGGAAGCCATGATTGCATATGTTGAAGAAATGAAAAAGGTAGGGAAAATAATTCACAGTTAAAATGAAAATTCAGAGCAGCTCTAATTTAATTTGGTTATCAGACAAATTAGTTGCTTTGCTTTAAGGAGACTGTAGTAGGTTATACAATAGAATCTAGATTATTGGGTTTATTAGGACTCTTCTGCTTCATTAAAGTTCATCTTAAGATAAGTGTTTTTTCCTTAAGATATATAACACTGTGATGATGTGATGTTTTATTTTGTTTTTGTTTTGAGACGGAGTCTTGCTCTGTAGCCCCGGCTGGAGTGCAGTGGCGCGACCTTGGCTCGCTGCAACCTCCACCTTTCAGATTCAAGTGATTCTCCTGCCACAGCCTCCCAAGTAGCTGGGACTACAGGTGCACACCACTACGCCCAGCTAATTTTTGTATTTTTAGTAGAAATGTGGTTTTTCCATGTTGGTCAGGCTGGTGATCACGTGCCTCAGCATCCCAAAGTGCTGGGATTACAGGCATGAGCCACTGCGCCTAGCCTGTTTTTTGATTTTTAATCTCCCCTATCTTTCTCTATAGTCAACTTCTTAAGAAGTGTAGAAATAGTAATCTTTGAAAATATTGAAGTCTCTTACTCAGGAGTCTAGGGAAGTAGCTGGACTCTCTTGAAAGTATTTCTGCTTTGGAGCTTTTTACTTAGTTCAATAATGTTCTCATGCCAGTTTTCACTCATAAATTGAGGTAGGTATTCTCATCACTGGAATTCTGTAAGAAGTCACATTTTTCTGTGAGTACATAGATCCTTCAGAAGCATAATAAGATAAGGTTTTTTCTGTGAGTACATAGATCCTTCAGAAGCATAAGTTTTCAGGTTCTCTGCTAACTAGTAAGCAGGGAAGTTCATTTTAACTAGCTCTTTTAAGTGTGTCAAAGGCATTCTTTTGAGGAGCAAGTATATGAAGAAATCATGACTTTTAAAGATGATCATAGAAACTTTTGTTTTTTTTTGTTTTTTGTTTTTGTTTTGAGATGGAGTCTCGCTCTGTTGCCTGGGCTAGAGTGCAGTGGCACGATCTTGGCTCACTGCAACCTCCGCCTCCTGGGTTCAAGAAATTCTCTTGCCTCAGCCTCCCAAGTAGCTGGGATTACAGGTGCACGCCACCACACCAGGCTAATTTTTGTTTTGTTAGTACAGGTGGGATTTCACCACGTTGGCCAGGCTGGTCTCAAACTCCAGACCTCAGGTGATCCACCCGCTTGGCCTCCCAAAGTGCTGGGATTATAGGCGTTAGCCACCATGCCCGGCTGAGACTTTAACCATTTTTATGTTAGACATGGATCAGAGGTTGTGAAATCTAAGTTTGATAATTTTAAACAAATTATCTTTGAACATAAAGAAAATCTGTAAAAAAGAATAGTTTTTTACCATATGATTTGATGATATTAATCTTGGTAGTAATTTTTATTTGTTATTACTAGATTTAGACTAGTTTTTTTATTGTTTTTTTTTTTTAATTTCTTCTACACTGCTTATAGTCATGCCCTTTGTTACCTTCTTGCAGTTTTTATTTGGTAGACTTTGTAACAAAGGGCAGAGTTTAGTTCTTTTGGCTATTAACTATGTCAATAACACAACAACAGATAGGCCTTTCAAAAGCAGAGAAAGAAAGATAATCGAAAGCCTTTTGGTTTCATAACTATTTCTCTCTCTTTTTTTTTAACCTTAAATTTCTTTATAATTTTTAGGATATGCTTCTATAATGTAAAGTTGAATTGACACATTAAGTAAAATTTACCCATTTTTCCTATTCAATTGTGTTAATTAATGGTATAGCCACATTTTAAAGTTGGAGGACGATGAAGCAATGTGTCTTCTGCCTTTTTCCCTAAGAAAGATTAAAACTATATTGCTGCTAAAATACCTGTAACTCCTTCTTTAATTAAAATAATTTATTTCTTTTCATTCAGACTTTAAAAATTTCATTGCATATTGTGAATATGGCAAAGTTTACAGTGCAGTTTTAGAGGTAAACCTAAAAATATCAAGATACCCATAAATTGAAAATTTGATTACTCTTTTGAATTATTTTTAGAGTTTAGCTTTATGACTATCAGTCAATAAAATTGCATGTTTCTAAATAATCTTGTGGGATAGTACATTATCCCAAAGATTTGATTATTGAATTTGGGACTTATTCTAATTTCAATAATTTACTAATTGAAGCACTTGTTAAATTGTCTCCTTAAATATAGTCTTTATCATTTTTTTTTTTTTGAGACAGGGTCTGGTTCTGTTGCCCAGGTTGGAGTGCAATGGTGCATGCCTCAACCTCCCAAGTAACTGGGATTACAGGGACATGCCATCACGCCCAGCTAATTTTTAGTATTTTTAGTAGAGATGGGGTTTCACTGTGTTGGCCAGGCTGGTCTCAAACTCCTGACCTCAGGTGATAAACTCACCTTGGCCTCCCAAAATGCTGGGATTACAGGCATGAGCCACTGTGCGCCTGGCCTGTCACTGTCATTATTCTTTAGAGTATAAATCTCATTTTATGTCTTTGCAGTCAGAGGTTTCAGCAATCTTACTAATTTAACTTATATTTTATAATGAATGCTGTTTTGTAGAAAGTGACTTTTCATAATTTTTAAGTTGCCCCATAAAATATCACTGAGAAAGTTGATTGAATAAAAAATTCTTTTAACGCCAGGCATGGTGGCTCATGCCTGCAATCCCAGAACTTTGGGAAGCTGAGGCGAGCAGATCACCTGAGGTCAGGAGTTTGAGACCAGTCTGGCCAATATGGCAAAACCCCGTCTCTACTAAAGATACAAAAAAATTAGCCTGGTGTGGTGGCATGCACCTGTAGTCCCAGCTACTCGGGAGACTGAGGCAGGAGAATCACTTGAACCAGGGAGGCAGAGGTTGCAGTGAGCCGAGATTACACCACTGCACTGCAGCCTGGGCAACAGAGCAAGAATCTCTTTTAAAAAAAAAAAAACTATTTTAGCATAATAGAATTATGTTTTGTAGAAAATTGCTTTTCATAATTGATAAAGTGTCCCATAAAATGTCACTGAAAAACTTGATATAATAAAACATTATTTTAATATAATGTAATAGGATTTTAGCTTTGAAGGAAAGTAATGTGGCTTGAGGGGTGAGAGAAATGCATGTTTAATTCAATAAGGTTTATTTATAGACGTATAAAATTATCTTTTTTTGAGGCAGCATCTCGCATTGTTGCCTGGGCTAGAGTGTAATGGCACCATCTTGGCTCACTGCAACCTCTGCCTCCTCGGTTCACGCCATTCTCCTGCCTCAGCCTCCCGAGTAGCTGGGATTACAGGCGCAAACCACCACACCTGGCTAATCTTTTGTATTTTTAGTAGAGATGGGATTTCACTGTGTTGGCCAGACTGATCTCAAACTCCTGACTCCGTGATCTTCCCACTTCGGCCTCCCAAAGTGCTGGGATTATAGACGTGAGCCACCATGCCTGGCCAAAATTCTATTTTTTTGGTACAAATTTAGGCTATCTTCTGGGGATTTCCAGAGTATTCAGCTAACATTTGAATCATGTGCCTTATGTCTGTTGAATTTAAAAAGAGATAGGTGTACTCAACCCTGGCTCCACATTAGAATCACTAGGGGATCTTGTGAAAAAATACAAATGCCCCAGGATGACCCCAGACTAATTATTTCAGGATTTCTAAGAGATTGGGATAATCGCTGTAATACAGGGAGGATTAGAGAATGGTCCCATTAAAGATGGAATCTCGGCCGGGCGTGGTGGCTCATGCCTGTAATCCCAGCACTTTGGGAGGCTGAGACAGGCAGATCACCTGAGGTCAGGAGTTAGAGACCAGCCTGGCCAACATGGTGAAACTCCATCTCTACTAAAATACAAAAATTTAGCTGGGTGTGATGGCAGGCGCTTGTAATCTCAGCTACTAGAGAGGCTGAGACGGAAGAATCACTTGAATCAAGGAGGTGGAGGTTGCAGTGAGCCAAGATCACACCATTGCACTCCAGCCTGAGCAACAGAGTGAGACTCTTGTCTCAGAAAAGAAAGAGAGAAAGAGAGAGAAAAAGAGAAAGGAAAGAAAGAAAGGAAAGGAAAGAAAGGGAAGGGAAGGGAAAAAGGAAAAGGGGAGGAAAGGAAGGAAACAAGGAACCTGAAAGTTACTATGGCCGAGGGTCTAGTCCATAGCTCAACAACTCTAGAACACCAAGAACACCAACTTTCTCTGAGTACTGAGGGTTGGCTTTTGTTTTAAGGTTTCACTCATAGTAAACATCTTTTGCATATTGAGGGGGAAAACGAATGCTAGTTTCTTAGAGTGAGTGATAGGCTTCTAGTGATCAGCATACTCAGGACTGATATCTAGGTCACTCTTCAAAAGGTTAGAAGCGCTTGGGAGACTGAATTAGTGATTCTGTTGTACAGAGAGTAGAGCGTTGGGATTTGGATGGCTTTAAGAGATGTGGTCATTTTGGACCAAAAAAGCCTGAGAAATTTAGTCTTCGCTTTCTTAGAGTATATCTATACCTTTCCAGTATATTTTCATCATCTAGAAATGATGTCTATCACTGAGGAAACGTGCTGGATAGACCTAGAAGAATTATTGTGCCTTGGATGCTGCTTTTCTGGTGTCCATGCAGCTTACCAGATATTTCTGTCAAAACATTCTTCATTTGCTTGGGTTATAATATATTAAGTTAGCATAGTTAACTTGTAACTTTAGACCAGGGATGTCCAATCTTTTGGCTTCTGTGAGCCACACTGGAAGAAGAATTGTTTTAGGCCACACATAAAATACATGGATACTAACGATAGCTGGTGAACTAAAAAAAAAAAAAATCGCAAAACAAATCATAATGTTTTAAGAAAGTTTATGAATTTGGGCCAGGCGCAGTGGCTCACGCTAGTAATCCCAGCTAGTAATCCCAGCACTTTGGGAGGCCGAGGTGGGTGGATCTCTTGGGGTCAGGAGTTCAGACCAGCCTGGGTAACATGGTGAAACCCTGTCTCTACTAAAAATACAAAAAGTTAGCCTATCATGATGGTGTATGCCTGTAGTCTCAGCTACTCGGGCAGCTGAGATAGAAGAATTGCTTGAACCCCAGAGGCAGATGCTGCAGTGAGCCAAGATTGTGCCACTGCACTCCAGCCTGTGCAACAGAGTGAGACGCTGTCTCTATAGAAGAAAAAAAGAAAAAAAAAAGTTTACGAATTTGTGTTGGGTATTTAAAGCCATCTTGGGCCACATGCGGCCTGAGGACTGCAGATTGGACAAGGGTGGTTTAGATAACATCTTCTCTGAGGGTAGGTAGTAGTTACCTAGACTGAGATTTGTCTGTGTCTGCTTTTTTTTGTGTGTGTGTGTGTGTGTGTGTGTGGTCTATATCTCATGTGCGTACATGTACACCATTTCTTGTATTTCAACATTGGTGTAAGGGAGATAATTTTGCAAATGGCTGAGATCATTCTTGGTTTGTGTATGTTTAAAGTTTCTTCCTCAGAGAATAACCTCTTCAAGAGGGTGGAGGCAAGGGCTCAGAAACTTCCTATTGGGTACTGGGTGACTGGATCAATAGAAGCCCAAACTTCAGCATCACACAGTATACCCTTATAACAAGCCTGCACATATACCCTCTGAATCTAAAAGAAAAAGAAAAACCAAAGAGAGTAACCTCATCAATTTTGGATGTGTCTTGCTTTGGTTACTGTGTCTTCACTATATTAACTACTGACATTCTGGTTTGTTGACAGAATGATTACTCAGTTGATACTTCCTTAGTGCCAATGGATACTCCTTTTATTTCATGCTGACATTTCAAGTCCACAGTTTACTCTTTTACCCTGTGGGGCATGAGAAACCCAGATGCTGAATTTAGTAGCCTTAAAAATAAGGACGAAGTTAAGAAAGAGATCTTTTAATAAGCCTTGAGAAACAGAGATGTTGCTTGCTTGTCAGGATGTGGTATGTGATTGGCTTACTAGATTCTGCTGACTGAAGTCTTGATATTACAGCGGCGTGGGATAGTGTAAAGGGTGCTGATTTATGTTTGAATTGTTTCTCTGCCGTTTGTTAGTTGTGACTTGGTCACAACTTTCTCCTGGTTTGAATCTGATTCTCAGAATTATTATTATAATTCAAATATGTTACAGCTCAGATATTTATAATAAATAATAAAACATTCCTTCACATAGCCCTAGCCTCATAACAAATGTTTCCTTTAGCAAAAAGAAATTTTGTGATTAAAGCATTCCTTTCACAGTACATTCAGAGGAGCAACAATCAGATAATTTACTCCAAGCTGTAAAATTAAATTATAATCACTAGAACCAGTTATTGTTAACATAGTTCATTCTGTGTAATCTCTCTCAACAACCTCCTTCTACACATACAACACGGTGGGGAATGGTGTTGATGAGCATGTCTCAGATCAAAATCCTATCAGAGTTGCTGACTACCATAGACCACTGATGATCCATCTTATATCTGGTTTAGAAATAAAAGCATGTTGTTTGAACAATAATTTTAGGGTTTTGGCTGGGCGCAGTGGCTAACACCTATAACCCCAGCACTTTGGGAGGCCGAGGTAGGTGAATCACTTATGAAGGTGTCTGAAATTGCTTGAAGGTGAGAATTGCTTGAACCCGGAAGGTGGAAGTTGCAGTGAGCTGAGATCATACTGCTGCACTACAGCCTGGGTGATGATGGAGTGAGACTCTGTCTCCAAAAAAAAAAGAAAGAAAGAAAGGGAGGGAGGGAGCGAAGGAGCCAGTTCTGGTATCTTTTTTTTTTTTTGGGAGACAGAGTCTCACTCTGTTGCCCAGAGTGGAATGCAGTGGTGCGATCTTGGCTCACTGCAACCTCCACCTCCTGGGTTCAAGCAATTCTCCTGCCTCATCCTCCCAAGTAGCTGGGATCACAGGTGCATGCCACCAAACATGGCTAATATTTGTATTTTTAGTAGAGGTGGAGCTTCACCATATTGACGAGGCTGGTCTCGAACTCCTGACTTCAGGTGATCCTCCTGCCTCGGCCTCCCAAAGTGCTGAGATTACTGGCATGAGCCCGACCCCTGGTATCATATTAAACATACTGTGATTAGCACACACAGAGCTGACTTTATTCTTTTTAATATCTGCAAAATATTTCAAATCTAGAAGTACTTTAGTTTCTTTAATCAGTCACTAATTGATGGCTGTTTAAATACCTTTTCAGTTAATTTACCTTGCTCTTTAAATTTGATGATTCTAAATTGGCCCATATTTATGAAGGTGTCTGAAAGTGATTGCCATTTCCTACTTTACTTTTGTGCCCTGTTAGAAATACTGCGCTACCTTATTGTTAAAGAACAGACATCATAATTTTATTCTAACTTCAGTTTTCTATTTCATTTAATGAAAGCCCCTAGTGTGTTTGTTTGTTTCCTTTATTTTTTTGGAGAAAAGATCTCGCTCTGTTGCCTAGGCTGGAGTGCAGTGTGGTGTGATCATGGCTCACTGCAGCCTCAATTTCCTGGGCTCAAGAGATCCTTCCATCTCAGCCTGCTGAGTAGCTGGGACTATAGGCGTGTACCACCATGTCTGGATAATTAAACAATTTTTTTTTTGTAGAGATGGGCTCTTACTATGTTGCCCAGGCAAGTCTCGAACTCCTAGGCTCAAGCCATCCTCCTCCTGCTTTGGCCTCCCGAAGTGCTAGGATTACAGGTGTGAGCCATTGTACCCTGCCCCCTAGTTTTTAATACACAATTTATAGGTTATTATATAAAATTTTACATGAAGCTCATGTAAAATAGTCTTCAAAATGAGAACGCTTTTAGATCTTTAATGTACTTGAAGCTTTTCTAGGAGTGTACATACATTTTTTAAAAGGATTCCTTTTATTTTATTTTTTAATTTTTGGAGATGGTATTTCACTCTGTCACCAAGCCTGGAGTGCAGTGGTGCCATAACGGCTCACTGTAGCCCTGATCTCACAGGCTCATGTAATCCTCCCATCTCAGCCTCTGGAGTAGCTGGGACCACAGGCACACACCACTATGCCTGGTTAATTAAAAAAAATTTTTTTTCGTAGAGACAGGGTCTCACTATGTTGCCAAGGCTGGTCTCAAACTCCTGGGCTCAAGCCATCCTCCTACCTTGGCCTCCCAAAGTGCTGGGATTACAGGCATAAGCCACCACCTCACCTGGCCACAGTGTGTATACATTAATAAAAGTATGTAATTAATGTAGATCCTTCAGAGAGTGTATTATGAACGTCAAATCTTAAAATTATTGACAAATTGGAAATAGGAGATTATCTGATACTAGTGGAGATCAAATTAAGAGTTTGTGATTTCACAGTATTTGTTTCTTTTGATTACAGATTATTGAAACTATGCCAATGACTGAGAAAGTTGAAGAACTGCTGCGTGTCATAGGTCCATTTTATGAAATTGTCGAGGACAAAAAGAGTGGCAAGAGTTCTGATGTAACCTCAGGTTGGACTATTTTACCTATTTTAAAATTCATCAACTGATATATTATGCACATATTAATATTTGTATGTCTGATTTTTTTTTTCTTACTTTCACATGCCAGTCCGACTGGAGAAAATCTCTAAATGTTTAGAAGGTAGGAATCATGAAATCATGTAAAAGTTTTGTTTAAAATTTACATGTCAAAAGAATTCTGCACACTTATAGAACTTACAGTCTTGTCATCCAGGAGTTTTCATTCCAAGCAAACACATTGTATGAAGTTCCAAAACATTATAAACCCTTAAAATTTTAACCCTAAAGTTGTAAGCTATTAAAATACACCAGGTAATTTACTTAGTATGTTCAAAATTATAGCAGAATTCATGGTTTTATTTTGATAGATCATGTTTTCTATTTTGCTTTGAGAATTAAATTAATAGTACATTGAATTCAATGGTTTACTAGCTAATTTTAAAATGGATATGTTGGCCAGGTGTGGTGGCTCATGTCTGTAATCCCAGCACTTTGGGAGGCCAAAGCGGGCAGATCACCTGAGGTCAGGAGTTCAAGACCAGACTTAACAACATGGTGAAACCCCGTCTCTACAAAAAACACAAAAATTAGCCAGGCATGGTGGCACACACCTATGATCCCAGCTACTTGGCAGGCTGAGGCACAAGAGTCACTTGAACCCAGGAGGTGGAGGTTGCAGTGAGCCTAGATTACTCTGCTGCACTCCGGCCTGAGCAACGGAGTGAGATGCTGTCTCTAAAAATGGATGTGTTTAGAGTATGGTTTAACTGTAGTATAGTAAGCTAATGCAAGACAGTTCATTTAGCTTGTTTTTTTTTTCTTCTTTCAGTTCAAGCATCTCTGCACGGATTGCAGTTTTCTTTTTTTTTTTTTCTTGTAGAATTTTGTCTTCATGTATACAAAGGATTTAAAGGATTATGTTTTGCATATTTGTAGGAGTTGAATAAAATGCAAGATTTGTTAGTATTAACTAAACATTTGATCTTGAAATTTTTTTAGAAAGCAGGGTGAAATGAGACCACAAGAGTCAATTTACGAGAAAATTGTATACCCTTTAAATAAAAATTACCTGGCATCCCCTTTTTTTCCTTGTCATCCCTATTTATAAGACATATTTTAATAATTGACAGTAATGGCAGCATTTCAGAATAGTAATCTTCCTGTGCTGAAATCAGTCCTTGAACCTGTCACGGTAATAAACTATGTGCAAGTAGTACTGACTGCTTACTGGGCATAACTCTGTCACATCATTCTACATCTGATTTGCTTACAGAAGTCAAATATTAACAAGTAGTCCTTCTTACAAGGCATGCTTATTCAATTCAGAAAAAACTAAATGTTATTTGAGATGGAGTCTTCCTCTGTCACACTGACTGGAGTGCAGTGGTCCCATCTCAGCTCACTGCAACCTTTACCTCTTGGGTTCCAGCAATTCTCCTGACTTAGCCTCCCAAGTAGCTGGGATTGCAAGTGTGCACCACCATGCCTGGCTAATTTTTGTATTTTTAGTAGAGCCGGGGTTTTGCCATGTTGGCCAGGCTGATCTCGAACTCCTGACCTCAGGTAATCCTCCCAACTCAGTTTCCCAAAGCGCTGGAATTAAAGGCATGAGCCACTGTGCCCTGCCAGAAAAAAAAAATTAAATGTTTTCTGTATGTCAGGCATGTTAGGATGCAGAGGGAAATAAATCTGGATCTGCTGCAGTGGTGTCCAGCCACTGGCCAGAGGCAGATATTTAAACAGCTAATTATAAAACAAAGAAGAGTAAATAATAGTAATAAAGGTACAGGCTCACAGCTTCCTAGCTATAACTTAAAATTTTTTAAATCTTTGAAGATCAGAAGTTTTTTGGTAAACTCATTTGGCAGCAAAACATGTCTGATACGAACTAAAAATCTGGGGAGCAAAATCTGACCTAAAGTAAAACGAGGGTATTTTGAGTCTCTGTCCTCTTTAGTGTAACTATTTATATGTTTTGCTGCAAAAATCATATTTTCTCTTTTTAGTGAGAGCTGCCTTAGACTCTATTGGATGTGTTACATAATATACCAAATGGCATATGTACCATATAACCTTTGCAAAATTAGAAAACTTGAGATTTCAAAACATATCTGGATCCAAGGGTTGTAAGTAAGGGATTGTGGACCCTCACCATAATTTTTTTAACCTGAGCCATTCTGGTGGACATTTAGGTTATTTACTCCTTCAGATCTTCAGAAAATACTGCTGAGAATGACCATGTACATCTGTCATTTCATATATGTGAAAGCATATCTGTAAGAAATATTAGAAATGGAATTAGAAATGTTTGATGTTTGTAATTTTGTAAGATATTACCAAATTGCAAGACAGTTTGCAATCTTGCTTTTTTTTTCCTAAACAAAGCATTTTCTTAAAAGTAGCCATTTAGGTCCAATAGAACAGATGTATCAGTTTTACATGGCCATTTTCAGAATATACATATACAGTAAGTTTTGAAATCAGAATGATGAGTCCTCCAATTTTGTTCTTTTTCAAGATTGCTTTGGCTAATCTTGATCCTTCACATTTTCATATGAATTTTAGAATCTGCATGTCAATTTTTGCAAAAATGCCAGCTTGGATTTTGATAGAGATTGCAGTGAATTTGCAGATCATTTTGGGGAGTATTGTCACTTCAAAAATATTGTCTTTCAATTCATGTTCTCAAAACAGTGTCCAGTAACCAACAGCATTAGCAACAAATGTGATCTTTATAGAAATTCGGAATCTTAGATCACCCTAGACCTACGAATTCAGAATCTGCATCTTAAATAGCTCTCAGGAGGTTCGTATGCACATTAAAGTTGAGAAGCTCTGATGTTACTCTCAGGATATAGCTTTGGCCACTTGGACAATTTGCTTTTGTAAGTGATTGATCACATCAGTGGATACTTTAAGAAAAAACTTAAATATCACAAAGACGTGATAATTTGAGTTGTGCACCTGAAGCCCTAAAGGTAATACTGGAATAAAATTTTTAAAGTGGACTCCAACTGTAATATTGATGAGATTGTTGGTAGAACCAAAAATGTACTTTTGTTGTCAGCATGCTAGCATATAGGAAGTATCTCTTCATTTGCCATGTATGAAGATCCATTGATCTCTGAACTTTATTTTTATTGATATTAACTTAAAAATAATTTACTTTCTGCCTGATTCAGAAAGGACTTAAGATAGCTTGATCTTAAGGTGATAATTGAAGGAATTTGTCTATGTAATATATGTATGTTTATGGTCAAAGAAAATAATACTATTATATATATATAACTAACATTTTAATTCACAATTATTTTATTAGTTATTTGTAAATTGTATTAGTATTACTTGGAAATTATGGTATAATTGTATGTTACCACATTGTGACTAAGTAGTCATTTCATGTTTTAGATCTTGGTAATGTTCTCACTTCCACTCCAAACACCAAAACTGTTAATGGTAAAGCTGAAAGCAGTGACAGTGGAGCTGAGTCTGAGGAAGAAGAGGCCCAAGAAGAAGTGAAAGAAGCAGAGCAAAGTGATAATGGTAATGTTTGGATAATCAGTTAGTAATTTTACAATAAATAAACTAAGAGGGTATGAAGACATTTGGGCTGATTTGGTATTGTAGAAGATTGGAGCAGCTGGTGGGATATAAGCTGTTGACCTTATAACCAGGTTTGCTGTGGACTGAAAGGCTCTGCTACAGAGAAAGGAACAACCAACCTTATGCATAAATGGAGTAGGTGTTAACTGAAGATTGACAAGAATAGGCCACTCCTCCAAATGGACGGCCTGAAATGCTGCATTAGACATGTGCTATTTTTAAGGTGTTGTTTCCAACATGAATCTGCATAAGTTACTAAGGACAGGAGACAAGTTAGACTCTCAATATCTTACCAAAAATAGAATGGAATCCAGAGAATAGGATACAGGCATAAGTTTTTTTTGTTTTTTGTTTTTTTTGAGATGGAGTCTCGCTCTGTCGCTCAGGCTGGAGTGCAGTGGTATGATCTTGACTCACTGCAACCTCTGCCACCCTCTGCAACCTCAAGCCGTCTTCCTGCCTCAGCCTCCCAATTAGCTGAGATTGTAGGCATGCACCACCATACCCACTAATTTTTGTATTTTTAGTAGAGATAGGATTTCACCATATTGACCAGGCTGATTTTGAACTCCTGACCTCAAGTGATCTGCCCACCTCGGCCTCCCAAAGTGCTGGGCCTATAGGCATGAACCATCGCACCCGGCCTACAGGCATAAGTTTTCATGAGGAAGGAACATTGGAATTATGGCTTAGAGCATTGAGGGCTCTGTTAGAATACCAATGACATGTGGGAAGACTGTTTTCAAAAGGGGAGGCAGAAAGACACTACAACAAACTGCGGCCAGGCACGGTGGCTCATGCCTGTAATCCCAGCACTTTGGGAGGCCGAGGCGGGCAGATCACCTGAGGTTGGGGGTTCGAGACCAGCCTGACCAACATGGTGAAACCCCATCTCTATTAAAAATACAAAAATTAGCCAGGCATGGTAGCAGGCGCCGGTAATCCCAGGTACTTGGGAAGCTGAGGCAGGAGAATCACTTGACCCCGGGAGGTGGAAGTTTCAGTGAGCCAAGATCGTGCCATTGCACTCTAGTCTGGGTGACAGAGTGAGACGCCGTTTCAAAAAAAGAAAACCAAAAACTGCGTAACTTAGTTTTGCCTTCCCTTTCCAGTAAGGTATGACAAGGAGCGCCTTCTTTAAAGGTCCTTTTTATCAGCTATGTGGAAAAGCAATTTGCTTATGCCTAAGGGAGTAAAAAGACTTTGAGAGATTACTTTTTAAAAGAAACTCTAGAAGATTGACAGGGAACTGAAACAGTTTTGAAGCCAACATAGCTTGGGTGAGCTCTCAGCCTATAGTAAACCGCATTTCAAGAAGCATGCCTTCTCTTTGATCCAAGTAGGAAACCCTTCAAAGGGATTGTGAGGTTAGGGAAATGACATCTGGGTATTAAAACATGGTATGCAGAAGGTAACCTACTGTGAACTTTTATGAATCTCTCCATTTTCTCATAAAAGATAAGAAAATGATGAAGTCAGCAGACCATAAGAATTTGGAAGTCATTGTCACTAATGGCTATGATAAAGATGGCTTTGTTCAGGATATACAGAATGACATTCATGCCAGTTCTTCCCTGAATGGCAGAAGCACTGAAGAAGTAAAGCCTGTTGATGAAAACTTGGGGCAAACTGGAAAATCTGCTGTTTGTATTCACCAAGGTATTGTCCCCAAATAATTCTGTGTCCAGCCTCTTTCCTATGAATAGTCTTTTAGTAATTACAGGATCTTTAGGATTAGTTTTGAATTTAAAAATCTCTTCTTTAGTAATATCTTAGGGCTTATTAATATTATAAGGGTTTATGGTTTTGAAAGAGCGTAAATTAGAGCCAGAGTTATATATGTATCTCTTTCTGTTGCCCAGACTGGAGTGCAGTGGCATAGTCAAGGCGCACTGCAGCCTTGAACTCCTGGGCAATTCTGCCTCAGCCTCCTGAGTAGCTGGGATTACAGAGACAGGGTTTTGCCAGGTTGCCCAGGCTGGTCTACAACTCCTGAGTTCAAGTGATCTGCCTGCCTTGGCCTCCCAAAATGCTAGGATTACACGTTTGAGCCACGCACTGGCTTATTTTTTAATTTTTAGGGATACATAATAGTGCATATGAGAAACATCATTTCTTTTTTGTGTGTGTGTGTGTGTGTGAGATGGTGTCTCGCTCTGTTGCCCAGGCTGGAGTGCAGTGGCGCAATCTCGGCTCACTGCAACCTCCACCTCCCAGGTTCAAGTGATTCTCCTGCCTCAGCCTCCCAAGTAGCTGGGATTACAGGCACATGCCACCACGCCTGGCTAATTTTTTATATTTTTAGGAGAGACGGGGTTTCACCATGTTGCCAGGTGGTCTCGAACTCCTGAATTCAAGTGATCCGCCCGCCTTGGCCTCCCAAAGTGCTGGAATTACAGGTGTGAAGCAACATGCTTGGCCGAGAAACATCATTTCTTTTTTTTTGTGTGTGTGTGTGTGTGTGTATGTGTGTGAAATGGCGTCTCGCTCTGTCGCCCAGGCTGGAGTGCAGTGGTGCGATCTTGGCCCACTGCAAGCTCCGCCTCCTGGGTTCATGCCATTCTCCTGCCTCAGCCTCCCGAGTAGCTAGAACTACAGGCGCCCGCTACCACACTAGGCTAATTTTTTGTATTTTTAGTAGAGACAGGGTTGCACCGTTTTAGCCAGGATGGTCTCGATCTCCTGACCTCGTGATCCTCCTACCTCGGCCTCCCAAAGTGCTGGGATTACAGGCGTGAGCACTGTGCCTGGACGTTTTTTGTTTTTTGTTTTTTGTTTTGAGACAGAGTCTTGCTTCTTTGCCCAGGCTAGAGCATAATGGCCCGATCTCAGCTCTCTGCAACCTCTGCCCCTGGGTTCAAACAATTCTCCTGCCTCAGCCTCCCCAGTAGCTGGGATTATAGGCACGTGCCACCACGCCCAGCTAATTTTTGCATTTTTAGTAGAGATGGGGTTTTACCCTGTTGGCCAGGGTGTTCTCAAACTCCTGACCTCAAGTGATCTGCCTGCCTCAGCCTCCCAAAGTGCTGAAATTACAGGTGTGAGGCAACGCGCCCGGCCGAGAAACATCATTTCTTTTTTATTTTGAACGAAGTCTCACTCTGCCATCACAGGCCCTGGAGTGCAAGTGCGCCGAGCCCTCGCTCACCGCAAGCTCCGCCTCCCGGGCTTCACGCCATTCTCCTCCTGCCTCAGCCTCCCGAGTAGCCCCTGGGAACTACAGGTGCCGCCCACCCCACGCCCACCTAATTTTTTTTTTGTATTTTTCTTAGTAGAGAATGGAGTTTCACTGTGTTTGGCCCAGCGATGGTCTCAATCTCCCTAACCCTGTAATCCGCCCCAATTCTGGCCTCCCCAAAGGTGCCGGGATTACAGCGTGAGCCACATACGCCGGGCCGACACAATATGATTTCTTAACTGAGAAGAACCGAAAACTTAACCTAGTTGGGATCTTAACCATTTGCGGCATCCTGCTTGTAGGCTTCCCTCTTAAAGGTTATCAGTTTTTATAAATTCATGCCTGGTGTCTTTATGGAATTCAATGAAAAATATTCT